TTTATTCAGACCCTCCCTCCTGAGAGCACCTGGTACCGCAGCCTAGCCTTCCCTGTTATAATTATGCATGCTCTGCCCAGCTACATGGTTCTCTATGCACCCAATATCAATGCCTTCCCGATTCTTCCACTGACACATCTTTGGTTTACCTTGGATGTTAAGATAGCCCTCTTGTCCATTGTAACATAAAATCCTCTTATTATGTAAAATATTTTCACCCTGACTTTTCATTTCCCTTTGCAGCAAAATTTCCACTTTCCATAAGTATTTACTTTTTTCTGCTCCAGCAGATGTATTGTTTTCAATTTTTGCAGCCAACAGTATTCTAACTTTCTATCTAACCAGTCAGTGTATGATTGCTTGTTTATTGTTTGGTTTCTGGGAACTACAAGATTCTTGTTTCATTGTTATTTAGAATACTTCCCGATAAGAATAGAGGTCATAACAATAACTCACAACCAATGTTGCACTTAGGATCGACTCCAGTAATATTTAGTACACTGGCTAGGTTTAGGTTTTGATAGTCCTTCCCTACCCACTACCGCCGCAACCCATTGGCCACCTTGGCAACTACCTATACCTTATGACAGAAGGCACATATAACATGACATCCATAGTTTACTGTTTGCTCATCAAAATATATTTCTTGACAAAATTTCCTACTCTCTTATGTGAGCATTGGGTTTCTTGTACGGCACACTGCTTGAACTTCAGGTCACTGCGATATAATGTTATAGAATTCTAGGGAGAAACATCAGGTTATGAATCTTTTATAACTTGTTCCTAGAAAATCATCAAAGTAGAATGAAAAGTTTAAGGGATTTCGTGACGTTTCACGAGTATTCTTTGTCTATCATTCCACCAACTTCCTGGCTTGAAGTTCAGCCATCTCGTGGTCAACCCAAAACCCTTTTATCATACAACATTTCTTATTTTATATTTCTATCTCACTTTTAGCTTTTAGTTGTTAGTCGGACTGGACTCTCCTACTTCCCACCAGCCTCCAGCTTCAAGCATAGATAGATAACAAAATACACCAAGTCAGCCTGATATCTTTGTGACACCCAAATGCACAATGTGAAAGTCCCTTCTGTGAGACATACTGAGGCAGTCCTGGGAGAAGGTATGGCCACAGTGCGGGAAGACGAGTCGCTCCTTAGTGTTGTATATTTCCATGCAAACGTTGCACTGGAGTTGCATCCGATTCTGTAAGAAGACCGTAGCCATTTTGAAAATGCAAGTATATGCTCAGATATAAAAGATATAAACTTACATATATGTATCTATAACTATCCAACTGTGTGTGTATGTGCCTCTTATTTTGTAACAGAAGTTTGTACGTCCACTCGTATTTGTACTTTGGTGTGTTTATGACCCGAATTGAACGTTCCCTTTGTTGGATGTAAATATTCTGAAGCGAAATTATAGATATGTTCTTACCAACAGAACCCCTTATTTCGCTATGATATAAATCTGGAGCGGTGTTCATGAAAGGTCTATTAGTGTTCTTTGCGATTTTGTCTATGATTTATCCATTGCTACTAATCAGAACAAACATTATACGTATGAGATCCTCTTTTGTTAATCTACTGTGATGATACGATTAGATAAAGATAATATTACTCATATCATTTCATGACATGTCCAAAACACCACACAGTTTTACACTTTGATACATGTTTGCCCCTTTACATGCACATTGAAACTGTTGAAACATGTTTCAGTTTCTAGCAAAGTGTTTTATGTAGGTAAATGTTTGAGGACTGAGAAATACATGTGAAAGTGTCTCACACCCCTGCGTAGAGTATGTATGGCCAGGAATTACTGTTTCCAATTTAACTGAAGCTTCTACAATATTTTGCTGGCAGTTAAAAATCACACGTGTGTATGAAGTACTTTAACGGTTTTCTGTTGATATTTCTTATGTGAGGTTTAGAAAAATACTTGTCAGTGCATGTCAGTACAAACTTCGTTGCTATCGTGCTTTGTAGCGACCATCATACAACATCAAACATGTAGAAAGTGTTTGGCGTTTCGGGTTACTATAAAAAGGCCTTTAGTATATCTATATGTGATGTGGTATCCCTATGTTAACTGCCTGCTATTTTTTTTCTTTTTAATGAAAAAACTAATAAAAATGTAAGGGACGGCATAATCACCATTTGACAATTTATTAAAAGATCTCTCGCTCTATTACGGTTCATTCCATATTGGTTTTGGCAGCCACAAAGGCTGGCTTGCCCCCCAACTGGCTTTTACAATGGCAATCAAGGTAAGTTCCTTGCCTAAGGGAACTACGTGCCAGTCGGGGGATTCGAACCCTGATGTGTAATATTGTTGTCATTATAGAAGTAAAATTTAATGCAGTATGTAATTTAACAAATAACTGCAGTCAGTTATCCTCATAGATTTCATTACGATGTAAATGTTTCTTTTAGTAACAGCAATAACTTTTAGATGTGGCACCAGCGCAAATCATAGACAAAATCGCAAAGTCATAGACCTTTTGTAAATACCGGCCGCGCTTTCCTTTGTGGGTGATTTTTGAATATGAACAATGGACTTTTAAACCTTATTTCGTGATCGGGAATGCTCCCTTATTTTGTAGCCATGTAGTTTAGGTGCTCACAGATAACCAGTTATTTTCAGCACGGAAATGACACGCTTCTAGAGAGCTCCAAAATAGGTGACGCGTATTTGAGCAACCAGGTCAGGGAGAACAAGCTGCAGAGTGTGTTTTCTATACAGTCATCACTAAGGGGAAAAAAATGTTTATTGGTGAATTGCGAACGGGATTCAAGAGGGAAAGGGAGTAAATTGAATAAATGATAGATAGATAGATAGATAGATAGAGAGAGAGAGAGAGAGAGAGAGAGAGAGAGAGAGAGAGAGAGAGAGAGAGAGAGAGAGAGAGAGATGGTGCATGTAAGACTTAACTACGAAATCGTCAGCATGAGAAATGTTTGTATTTAACTACATTTTAGGTTCTATGATATAATTAGCCAAACTAATCAATAGTGGTATTTCTAATATGAGTCATATATGTGATAGGTGAGTATACATATAATAATGAATATGGGGAAATTGACCAATAACTTACATTTAATTTTTATATCGTTATTCTTGGTCAATTCTTAACCTCAATCAATCAGCAAAAACACTGAAAGTTACAGAAACTTTTGATGTTATCATGTTTTTTTTTTGGCTTTGATACTGTAGTTATGCAGATAACACGGTTACCGATTAGCTTAGATAACTTCATAATTTTACATAATGATATGATTATGATTCTTACGGAGATATATATACATCATCCCATCCTCTGTCTAGGAACAATATTGACTGAGCCATCTGCATGTGTGTGTGTGTGTGTGTGTGTGTGTGTGTGTGTGTGTGTGTGTGTGTGTGTGTGTGTGTGTGTGTGTGTGTGTGCGCGTTAGGGCGCGCATGTAAGCGATGGTTCAGTAAAGAGCAATAAAAAAGAAAGAAAAGTGATCAGGAAGAATACAGACAAAAATACTTCAAAAATACCTGTAGAACTTTGAAGCAAGCCTTTCCCTTCTTCTTCGGCATATTTTCTTCAATAATCTTTCTCATTTCCTTCGCCATTTGTTTCCTCGTTTCCTTGTGGTCTGGAGACGACCTGGATGTGTCCTGGAGTCTTAGCACCGTGTTCATCATCGCCATCATTAGCTCATCCTGTTTTTTCTGATTCTGTGGAGAATACATAAAGTCACATGCTTATATATGAGTGTTTGTGAGTATATATATATATATATATATATATATATATATATATATATATATATATATATATTCTTATATATATGCATACACACACACACACACATATGGTAGTAAAGCCCACAATGCACGAACTAAATTTATTGCAGAAAGTGAGACAGCAGTTTCGGAATCGTCCTCGATAGGAGGAAAGGGAGAGGAAGCAGTATAAGAGGGAGAGGAGGAGAAGCACTCAGACACAGCAGTAGACAGGCAGAGCCGAACGAATGTCTACTACGAAGAAATCGCAGCCAGGCGGACGTCGAATATACTATGAAGAAATCGTACCCAGATGCCTGTTGTTTACTCACACTTACGTTCATACTGCTCCCGAGATGCTCACGTTTACTCTACATTCAGGCCCAAGCTACCTACATGTGTCCAAAGCATTATTACTAGCCTATTTAGCCCGAAGATATGTAATTCTTGCTCACTAACTTTTCTCTTTACAATGTAATGGTACTCTATCAAACTCACTAATCCTAATGGATCCTGAGTAATTACTACCTTTTCATATGACGTTGCCTTTTTCATAACAAATGTTCTTATTACTCTCATTCTCTGGCATCTTAGTAAGTTTACTGACAAGTAAAGTATCATCCTCCCACTTAGCCCTTTTACTGGGTTTCCTGTATATAGAGAAGGAGAAGTGATCAGCAGAGCGATGGACAAGTGTCCAAGAAGGGGAGCTTGTTGTCAACCTCCCATTACACGTTGAAACGGATGGGAGTTCAGCTGCGACAGGAAATCAGGAAACAAGGCAGGGTCATGAGGCCAGAGAGCAAAGACGTCATCGACACATCTCAGCCACATGGAAGGACGAGGGGAGATGGAAGGGAGGAGCTCCGACTTGAAGAACTCCATGAAGAGGTTAGCAAGAACAGGAGAGAGAGGAGAGCCCATGGCAACACTGAACGTCTGTGAGAAAAGGCGACCCTCAGAGTAGGAATTCGACTCCTCACACAGATGAATCAGCTGGAGGAAGACGTCGGTGGGAAGAGGAAGACGAGGATCCTCGGCGGAGAGCTTCCTCTGAAGGTAAGCGGAGAGGAGGGGGACATCAGGCAAGGAGTTCCTATGGGCGAAGATGAAATGGTCGAAGGAAGAAAAGATGTCAGTGGAGGTAAGGGAGAGAGGGCGAAGAGCAAAAGAAAGACCGAAGCCAAGGAGTTGTTGATGGTGAGGAGTTAAGGACAGGGATGATAGGTTGGTAACCACATCGATTACACATCTATATATGTATATATATATATATATATATATATATATATATATATATATATATATATATATATATATATATATATATATATATATATATATATATATATATATATATATATATATATATATATATATATATATATATATATATATATACTTAAGTTACCTATATGTATAAACACACCTCCTTCCACACACCCCTTTTACAGCACCTCAGGGACCATGTATCAAGCCTTCCACTCAAAACCCATCGGTTGCGACATTCCACAGGCCTTCCGCCTTGTAACGTCGCTCTGTTTACACAGACGCATCCCCTCTCTCTTCTGCTCTTTCCTCTTCCTAGTAGAAAGCGGCACCCCTCCAATATTCCATGTATAACTGTATAAAAAGGATCGCCTGTGAGCGACAGACAGACACTATATGGTGTACTGATCCGACTAGACCTCTGTCCCTCAGTTCTACCAATCTACCACAACAATAAACCACTGCTGCTGATCACGGAGTCTGTTTCCCCAACGCAAGATTGCTACTTTGTGCCAGACGCGATTCTGTCTGCACACGAACACTCATATATATATACATAAATATATATATATATATATATATATATATATATATATATATATATATATATGTGTGTGTGTGTGTGTGTGTGTGTGTGTGTGTGTGTGTGTGTGTGTGTGTGTGTGTATGTGTGTGTGCGTGTGTGTATGTATATGCGTGTCTGGGTATGTGTGTATCAATACGGTTTTACTAAAGCCTAGGCTCGGAAAAGAATACGATTCCACACACGTACATGCCCCATTCTTGGACATGTACATCAATGTACGCATGCGCGTTTAACCAAACTTGTTACTCTGATTACCATTCCCAGGAACCTTACCTCTATCTTCTGCTGCTCTATCTCTTTCATTGCCTGTTGGGATGAAAAAGAAAGAAACAGGTGGATTACTATGCCTTCATTCTGTGGGATAATGACAAGGCCGCTGATCATAACAATAACGAGGATAATGATGATATTAAGAACAGTTATATTAATCATAATAAGAACAATTATGATAATCATGTTAAGAGTCCTAATAGTAGTAATAACAATTATACTAATACTACTAATGATACTAACATGGTAGTTTTTAATATCTGTATTCTCATAAGCATCATTATTAACATCATTAATAATATCAAAATCATTAATGTCATCATCATTGTAAGTAACATCAAAATTATTATTATTATCATTATCATTGTTGAAATAATTATAATTATTAATAATTTATGATTATCATTATTACTATTACTATTAATATTGTTATCATAACTATCTTTTAACAATAATTATAATCATGATTATAATTATTGCCAACATCATTATTGTCATTTTCATTCTTAATATTGTTATTATTATAATCTTTATAATCATTCTTATTCTGATTTTTTAGTCATTATTATAAATTTTCATCCTTATTATATAATAGTGTTGGTATCATCATCATGACTCGCATTATTATGAGGATTTCTGTCATTAATATCGTTAATGTTGTTGTCGTTTTTATTGTCATTGTCATTACTGTAGTTGTCGTTATTATTATCATTATCATTACTGTTGTCCTTATCACTACTAAAATTAATATCCTAATCATCATTATTTTTATCATCATAGTCATCGCTATCTACATTGGTAATGCGATTGCTTCTGGGTATGATGACTCGAACAATGACAAAAACAAAAAACAATGACAGCAAAAGAATGACAACAAAAATGACAACAATGACATCAAAAACAAAAACAATGACAACAATGACAACAAAAACAAAAAACAACAAAACATTGACAAACAACAAAAACAATGACAACAAAAAACAAAAAACAATGGCAACAAAACATTGACAACAAAAACAAAAAACAATGTCAACAAAAACAAAAAACAATGACAACAAAAACAAAAAACAACGACAACAAAAAACAACGACAACAAAAACAACGACAACAATGACAAACAATGACAATGACAACAAAAACATCTCCCCCCCCCCCACAGACTCACATCGAGGAGGCGCTGGTCGTATTCTCGCACTTGACCACCTCCGTCGTCCTTGAACGCACGAATCGCGTTGGGGATTTCCTCTGCAACCTTCCAACCAAAGGCTGTCAGAGCAGTTGCACTCGCGATCTCGAGCAAGGGAGGGATTAGGAACGCCATCCTGCCTGATAAAAAGATTCGTCGGGTTAGTGTGTCCGTTGGAGCGAGGATTTCTGCTGTATATGGGGGTGTTTCTTGCAGCTGGAGTGGATGTTGTATCGGTTGTGTGGGGTGAATTCATTGCCTGGGAAAGATTCGCGGGGTTAGTGTGTCTGTTGTAGCAAGTTCTGCTGTATCTGGGGGTGTTTCTTGCAGCTGGAGTGGATGTTGTATCGGTTGTGTGAATTCATTGCCTGGGGGCATGTGGCTGTGTGCTCGCTTGATTGTGTTGGGGGTGCGGGGGTGGGGGCTG